GCACTGTACTTGTCACTGATGATCTCATGTGTCCTACCCTCATCTTCCTATCTAGGCTATTCCCTACTAGAAACCAAGAACTCCAAATTCTATTTACCCTAAATCTCCTATGGTCACTAATACCATGCTAAGTACTCAGTAAATCTAATGTATTAATCTATTGATCAAAATGAACAAGTTTCAATTACTATCTTCAGTCTGACTACTGGAGTTACACCTTCCAGTTGTTTATTATTTGTTCTAGTTATTTATTATTGTAAATCTATTTATTATGTATTATTATGAGAACATAATGGCCCATGTCCCTGTTTTCTCTTTGCCCTTCTTCTGCCTGCTCTAACTCCTTGTACGCCTTCCACCAATCTAACATCTGCAACTAGTAAGCCACACAGAACTGACCTTGGGGAGTATATCTTTGAATTTATAGTCAGCATCCAGGATGGTTTTCTCCTTAGTTCTCTTCTCTGGAGTGATTTTATCATCGCCAACTAGGAAGCAAGCTTGAATGCCTGTTTGGTTCATTCCCCATGCCTGCAAGCAAAGCAACTCCTAAACTCATTGTTCAGATTAGTGTTAGATTCCAGGCCAAGAACCTGCAGCAGACATAATATGGATTAGAGAACAATGCACTAATCAAAGACAAATAAGGAGTTCAGTATGAGGGTCAATATTAAAGTCTTTGGAAACTGAAAAGTTTATTCAGACGAAGGCCATTATCAGAGTGAGGCACAGCCAATGCACCACCCGTGGCTGGGACGTGGCGCCCCACAAGTTTGTTCGTGGTACTACCCAAATAAAAGTAAAAATAGAATCGTCAGTCATATGATGATGTTTTAGCAAAAGATATTCATGTTTCATGTTTTAACAGTGTCATCTATTGAATGATTTGACAGTATATTATTTCTTAACATTCCATAACTAAAGTCATACTTTTATCATTTTCAGCTTCGCAAGTCTGTTTTCAGCATCAGGGCAAGGAACCTTCTAGAAAAGGAGACCGCAGTCACTAAAATCTTAAGGTAACACCAATTAATGTTGACACATATTTAAACACAAGTGGGATTATATTAAACAAAAAACAGCTTTTTGAAAAATGAATTAATGTTCTGGGCCTCAGCATATACTTTCTGCCAGAAAGTAGATTTGAGTATCTATATACTTATAAATAATATAAAAGACATTATTAATGTCATTTCTAAAACTATATATATTTTATTAGCTCAGTAGGCCTTTCTTTCAAGTATTTAAACATAAATGATAAGTATAAACATTGGCCAAAAGGTGAAAATAACTTACTGTTATTTTTAACAGTTTTATATCTTTTGTGATATGTAAAGGAGAAATCACAATCTAAAGGATAAATGGTGAAAGAGCAAACGTTTTCATTATAGTTCATTACACTATTAAGAACACATCTATTAAAAATCTAGAAAGAATAAAAAGTATACCCATCTTAGAATGCCTATGAAAACATATACTTTTCATGCTACTTTCTAGAAGATACCCGGAAATGAAGTATCAATGAGAAAATTAAGCAACCTGCTTGAGTATTTTATAAGACTATATGTTATAGAGTAGCATGATGAGTATAAAAACACATAAGCATTTGGAATATCATGTTTTAGTACATATATTACATAGACATATGTAAATGACACAACTCAAGATTGGGAGCTGGAGGTAGGATCGCTCGCAAGGCGAGTGGACAGATTCCAGGAAGTCCCCTGCAAACCTGTGGTGAGTGGTAAGGAGTTCTAGCTCCCCTCTACTAGATTCATTACTAGGTATAGACATTAAAGCTTTCTCTCCAGATGCATGTTACTATAACTTGGAAGACTGTGTGAGGAAATAAAGCTTAGTATATATGATCTTTAAAACTATTCTAACTTTATAATACTACCTAAAATTTGTGTGCAAATAAAATTCCTAACTAATCAAGACAGTGTTTCTCTCTATATTGGCTGGCATTCATGCATAGAGTTAAGTTTATGTTGGAGTAGCTGTTATAAGATGAAAATAAGTATTTCCAGGGCTTGTGTATTATCACCACAAAATGTGATGAGATAAACAGACAAGGTCTCATCGAAATAGACAACCTGCCTCCCACTTAGGCTTGCTCCTGACTGGCTGGTAACTCCATCCTGGTATTACTATCAGATCATGCAGTGAGGCTGGCCTTAAACCACACGTGTTACATCAGGATCATGATTCCAGCTACATGTACACCAGACAAGTTCATGGGTAGGGTTCTACAGCAATGCTGATCCACTCACTAAAAAGAGAAATTCACCCTCAAGCCAGAAACTACCTACAAGGACATCATAATTCTTAGTCTGCATTGAGAATCTGCCTGCCAAGTCAGGAACTAGAGGGATGTTACTCATGTTTCCAGAGCCAATGCCTTGCAGTGTAAATGGGCCTTCTGTGTCAATGAGTTCCCAGAGACTTTCTGAGGCAGATGCAGAAACAGATACTTGCAAGGAAGCGATTTCCAGACCTCATCTCCCTAGGAACTCTTTCTTAAAACTGATCTGTCACTTTACCTTTTTCACCCTCCTGTCCTTATTTACCCCTCTCTCAGTTTAGAAACTATGGTGTGTATTAATCTGGGATGTAAAAATCCTCCGGATGGCCAAGCAAAAAGACCGTTCCCACCTGGCTTTCTCCAAAACGAGGGTCCCATGGGGCCATGCCTTATTTTTGATCCCCCTGACAATTTTATGGATAACTTCCTTCCCAAAGCTATCTACCTTAGAGTTAGGCCTTAGAAACAATGTGATTGTCATAAGGGCATGTGGTTACATGTTGTTTGAATTGAAAAATAAAGTCAGACTTTTTCTGACAGATTCAGCTGATTGGCTCAACAGTGAAAACTGATTTAATAAGCGACCAATGAATTGAATAGATTGGATGGCTAAGAGTCTCCAATTTATTCTCAAAATTTTTTTCAAGCACAAACACAATAATTACTAGAATTGCTAGAAATTACATTCTTCTATTTAACATGGTACAAGAGGAATATAGTTGCTGATTTTTAAATATACAGAAGTGTTTTTGTTTTTTCAATTATATAATGCACATGAGCAATATTTTTTTTTTTTTTTTTTTTTTTTTTTTTTGAGACAGAGTCTTGCTCTGTCACCCAGGCTGGAGTGCGGTGGCGCAATCTCGGCTCACTGCAAACTCCGTCTCCCAGGTTCACGCCATTTTCCTGCCTCAGCCTCCCAAGTAGCTGGCGCCTGCCACCACGCCTGGCTAATTTTTTGTATTTTTTAAGTAGAGACAGGGTTTCACCATGGTCTCAATCTCCTGACCTCATGGTCCACCCGCCTCGGCCTCCCAAAGTGCTGGGATTACAGGTGTGAGCCACCACGCCCGGCCTATGAGCCATATTTTTAAGACTATCAGGAAATATAGACCCCTCTAACTTGCTCAACAATAGTGTAGTTTAGGGGATACTCAACAGCCAATAATACTTTACTACAGCCCAGCATACTACAAAATGAGAGGCAGCACCCTAAAACTACCTGAGCTATATCACCTTGTGAAACTCAGGAAATAAAAAGCCATAATTTGAAAAAACAAAAGACCTTAGAATTTTTTAAAATACCAATTTGATTTTGGAAAGCCATTTTGCTTTTTGTTCTGTGCGAATGGTTTCTTCATTGCTTCTACACTAGTTTCTGCATGAATTAAGGGCAAGTGCAAAAACTCAAGCTGATATTTTAGGAATACTTATCTTTTCACCACTAATTGTAGTAATAGTAATGGCAATGATACCATACCTTCATTATAATGTGATCCATCAGTCAAAAAGTCAAGAATAGATTGGGTCCATGTCAGTGAGTGTTTGTATCGTTTTATACTGTTTTTCAAGGAACAATAACAGCTAAAAGGAAAAAGAAGAGGGGGAAAAAGAATTTTTTTTTACAAAAAAAGGAAAATATTTGCAGTAACCTCAGGACAATTGCTTTGAATAACCTTCCACAAAATTGGGAAGGAGAAAAAGCTCTCCACCACTTTATCAGTGTCTTTTTACTGCCTCTAGAGACTCCTCTCTCCTAGGCTCCAACCTTGCTGTCCATTAAACTCTGCCAGGGTTCCTGGATAACTTAGCAGTGGGGTCTCCCAGGACCATTTGCATTTTGAAAGAAGGCTTTTAAAAAATGAAAGGGCTTTTAAGACAAAGAGGATGCAGATTCCATCTTTGAATAGATGGGTCTACCTAGATATAAATAAAAGAAGTCTGGCAGAGACTGCCGTTTTAGTGTTCTATCCCTCTTAACTTTCTAGGTGTTTTTATTTTCATAGAATTATTGTCTTTAGTCTTATCCAAGAGGTTCATTGCCAGGGAGGTAAGTAACAGCAGTATAGGGAGGCTTGAAAAAGAGACCTGAACTAGATCATTGTGGCAAACATCACAGGTTGACATTCGTCCTAATTTGTGTGCAGATAGAGATAAATCACAAAAACCTTAAATCCAGAGTGATATAAGAAATGTAAGCTTTTATGAAGTATTAGCGTATTGAGATAACTTTCCAAAAAATAACAAATATTTGGGAAAAAATAAAGCAACTCCTTGACTTAAGGTTTCTGGAGGCCTGGCTGTGTAAACAGGCAATTAATTTCAATTCTCAACCCTCTTGTCCATTCCATGGGAGCTAGGAGGAGGCGATCTTCAGGGCCCTTCCAGTTCTACTGTAGGATACTGGACTTGGTGTTAAATCCCCCTTGACTGGCATCAAGCTTCTCTGTAACATTGAACAACTCACTAACCTGACCCTCAGTTTTCTGATCTACCTTAAAAAGGTTGTCTGAATAATCTATTGACCAAGCAAAGTGAAATTTAATACTTATTCCAGTAAGGGAAACTGCCACTTTGTTTTCATAATGTCTCAGAAGGGATAGGTCAGAGGTGGATATATGTAAGGTTTTGGGTTTGGGTTTCAGTGTTTGGAGGATGGAGGTCTATTTGAGATTGGGCAGAATTCTTGGTATGAGTTGAGGAGTATTGAAGATGCCTGGTGTGGACAAGTAATAGTTACTGTTCTGAAGATGGCAGTGCTGTGGTTGAGGACCAGGAAGGGAAAGTGACTTGCCTGGTGCCTCTCCACTGCTTTCCATGTTCTTTCCCTCGGCTTTGGTTCAACATTTGAGTAGTCCATTCTTTACAGGGAGTTTGCCCTTCTGTTTTCATTCTCCTTCTTGACTTGGGTGATCTAAGAGAAGAAAAGCAAATGGTGACCTTATGATGTCCTCTTCACATATGAAATTTATTTTTTTTTGTGCCTTTTAGATTTTTAACCAGACACAACTGTAACAAACAAATACAACTGATTTTTATAGTGTTGTTTTTTTTTTAAGTTTTGGATTGATCCCCATTGGGTAGAGTCTTGACAAAACATCCTAATGAATACCAATTATTTGTATGTGACTAGCTTGACCAGTTGAGTGACCTATTGTCTGGAGAAACGGGTTGGTTGGCCCAGCAGTCTATAGTTCAGTTAAATGAATTTGGAGGAAGTGCCTGAAATCAACAATGAAGTTGCTGACTGGTTAACAGCTTTACCTTCCTGGACAAGTCAAGTCATATTGATGCAGAGCCCTCAGCTCTCAGCCCTGGAAATTAAGCTGGAGAGCTGCCAGGGGTCTTAGTTCTCAGGGGGGACCCACATTTCCAAATATCCATCTTCCATTTGAAACAGGATCCACATTATTCTAGCAGAAAGTATGTTATATACATTACTATGAACAGGAAATTTCAGCCCACAGAGGAAGAAGTCTTTCAGAGAGAGGAAGGGCCCTAGAGCCTGAGGTATGTGATTCACAGGTAGAATCACCCATTTCTATGTATAATCATCTTTAATTCATGTTGTTGTACTTTTTAAAATTAATTGATGTTTTGAGAAATAGAAATGAATTTTTAATATATTTTAGAACTCTTTGATGAGAAAAAAAAAAGTGGGCCATTTATACAGAACTTGAGGCTACCGGCCCATGCTAAAATGCAGATGATTCA